ATATGACTAGGGGAAAAAATGAATTTTTTTATTAATAGAAGGTTTTCTCAAAACACAAACAAGATAACATATATTGATTACTTACGTACAACTGCTGGACAATATATCCAAAACAATATAAACAATTGTCACAGAATTATAGAAATAGTGATATGACATCATTTACATCCAAATCCCTCGCAAAAACAATGTATGAAGAGGAAGTTTAATGAATCAGACTAAAAGCAACAAAACAAGGAAACCTATGTTTTAAATCGGTTCATTTCATTAGGTCTAAGATAGGTACAGACTGTCTCATGATATTTTATATCTCCTCTGTTACCGTCACAATCAATTGATTATAATTTTGTATTTATTAAAGAATCTTTAGGAATAATGTTATGAATGACATGTCTTCCGAAGCAAAAATAATTTAGTAAATTATAGTTAACTACAGAGACTACAATGACTATAGCGATAACTACGACACAATAAACACTTCATATAAAATTAACTATAGTGATAACTTTTATATTATAATTTTCTATAGTGATAACTTTGAAACTTTGATTTACAATAAATATCACTCAAATGTACTTTATAGCATTAATACTGTTAAAATAAATGATTTTCATTGAAGTAATCGTAATATGATTAAAATAATTAGGGTTATCAGAGTCAAGTCACACGAGTCAGTGATTGTACTGACAATATGCCTACAAAAACTGTTAAACAAATTTCATATTACTGTGTAGGTTGGAAGCATACGAACGAAATTTTAACTTTAGCGGTCCCGTAATAGAGCTGCCAGCGGAAAGGAAGGTAGACTGGCCCACTACTGGATATAAACAAATTACATCAGAGCATTATGACTCAATGCCACATATATCAGAAGCCCATATCGAAGGTACAGTAATATGGGGGAAAATCGCTTAAGTATGTTAAAAAATTTGGTGTATGCCACACATGAAATTTAACAGTTTTGAGGATATCAAATATAAATATGTCAATGTGCAGGTGTAAAACTTGTATATATTTTCTTTTGGAATTCTTAGGATATTTTCAATACAGACAAGCAGTTGACAGGCAAATGATGGGCAATACAAAAGCGATTGTGAAAGGAAAATTGCTCTTGGAGTCAGAGAGAGTTGAAGCTCTGAGTATTAACTGTCAACATGAGGACTTTTTTCTCACAGGATTTGTCAGAGCAGCAATGAAGAAAAAGGTAGTGTTTCAAAATAAATGAACAACAACTAATTAAAAACAGATTTAAAAAAAAAAATCAATGTACATGTGTGTGTAGTATGAATGTAGAGTGAATCAAGATTGTCTGAGTAATGAGTATTATATTGTTGACTGTATTTAACAGGTGTCTTACAATTATCGTGTAAGAATTCACAGAAAAACGGGTGAAATTAAAAATTCAGATTGTGAATGCCCTGCTGGGAAGGGCCCTAATGGAACTTGTAAACATGTAGCCGCTGTTGTTTTGCTCTTGGTGAAATTTCGGGAAACACACATTATAGCCATTCCTAGGGGATGTACAGATAATCTCCAGACTTTTCATAAGCCAAAGAAGTCTTTCCAAGTTGAGCTGTTTAAAAATGTTTCCTATTCATGTTTTTTTTTTTTTAATTTGACTATTTTAATTTTGAATATTTGTTGTTGTTTATATACAGTACTGACCAGACACAACCTAACACCAGAGCGAACCCAAAGCGCACCCCGGGTTCGCTTTCTGGGTTCGCTCGGGGTCCGCTACGGGTCCGCTTTCAGAAATTTTGGGTGCGCTCTGGGTTCGCTTCGGGTTCGCTCTGCGTTCGCTCGGGGTCAGCTCTGGGTCCGCTAGAGCGAACCCGGCGTTCGCTTTCTGGGTTCGCTTTACGCACTCATGCGCGAAGCGGACCCCGCTTTAATCTTGCCGCCAGTAAGCTCCGCCCCTTGTTTATTCCAAATACAGCAGTGAAATCGATCATTGTTGTTTTTGTGGCGATCGATACAAGTGCATGTGCAGTGGCTGCAATGTTATTGTTGACAACATACACGAACGATCACGTTTTACACAAAATAGTTAAAAATATTTAGGAGTGGATATTTAAAAAAAACAACAAAAAACTTATTAATAGATATCTTAGATTAAAAATATTTACTGCTGCAATTAATCGACTTTGGATAAGTGACAAAAAAATTATAGAAAAAAATATTTTTGAAACTACATGTAAATAAGGTTTAATAGGTATTTAAGATAACAAATAATTATTAATGTAATTCTCCGACTAAGAATTTTTTTTTATCTTTTTGATACATAAAAATGTAATTTATGATCGAATGCAGCATGTTCTATCATATGATATAGGTTGACTGTGAGTTTTGATTCTATTGGATTTTATAATATGCAGTATGGGGGTAAAAAAATTTTAAAAGTGGCCTAAATAATGAATGAATACTTATATTCATCTTTCCATCTATGAATTCAAAAATCAGCATTTTTTTTTTAAATTCATTCATCTGCAGAAATTAAAATAATAATAAGTATCAGGGATAAAAAGTAACCCCGACAATCATGTCGTGTACATTTGTCGACTAATTATTTATGTAAGGAATCTGTATTGGAGAGACAGACTTGCACCCTTAAGAACAAATAAACATCGCTCAATAGCTACTTCTTAATTATTATTATTTTTTTTAAAAACACTCTTTATGTTTGTTGATGATGCTAGTTGTGGGAACATGTATGTGGTAAGATTCGAAATCAGGTGACATAAACAATCCCAACTTTTGATAGCACCATTGGCTAAGGGTGGCTAGCTAAGATAATAATGTCCTGTAACATATAACAACTTTAATTCTGTGACCCGTGTCACAATATTGTTAAAATATAAAAGTTGCGTGATCTACAGACAGGTATACAAAACTACAGTTTGAGAAGTTGTTTTAGGTAGTTCTTCTCATGCATGCAAAATTTAGCTTTTATGTTCAGTCTTTGTTGAATATACACTAAAGATGAATACATATGATCCACAAATTTACAAGTCATATACATGTATATTATAAGTAAACCATGAAATAAGAAAGCTTTAAATTAATGCAGATATTGATTACAAATACTGATATATTCAATATATTACTTAATTAAAAGTGATGGAAATGTGATTTCTTTGTACAGGAATACAATACTGAAATATATATTTGGCAAATTGTAATAGAAGTTAAATTACACGTAAACTAATGTTTTTTTTTTTTTTTTTTTTTTTTTTTTTTTTTTTTTTTTTTGGTTAATGTCCGACTTATTTTAAACCTTTGAATTTTACAGGCTCCCCCATAAAAGCAGAAGACATGCCTTGTCGGTACAACCCAGATCTTAGTGACCCAAGACCTCAGAAATACAGAGGAATTGCTGGATACAACGATTATGTGAGCAACATTGTAACCAATTACTGTGCTTTAACGTTAGCAGATTTATCTTTCAAGTACATGAAGCCAAAGGCATTTATCAACTTTGCAGTACTGGACCATGATTACTTGGACCTGCCATTCACTGAATATTGGATAGATGCAGCTCAGAATGTATGATATTAATGAAATATTTTGTTAATTGTAATCTTTTGTAAGAGTTATGATTTATATGTCTTTTGGAAAAGAAAAAAAAACAAGATGTGTTTGTAAAACACTGATGCCTCAATATGGCAGCTTCTGGCAATGGTGAAAGTTGAAGATACATGTATTGATAATTTAAAGTGCTACTGAACTATTCTTATAAGGTTACATTATAAATTCTTGAAATATAAGAACTGGTTTATAATGAATTTTGATATACTTGAAGTGTTTCTTTGGTATGAACAAATTTTAATTTTTCGTATCTAGGTTTCAGATAGGGACATTGCCCGTATCGAACACAGTACTAGGAAACAGAATCTGTCGAAAGTTTGGCACCAAGAAAGAGAATGGCGTTTGACAGCTTCCAGGTTAGGGGATATTTGCAAAGCTACTGATCGACGTAACACACTGAAGCTGTGTTCTAGCATCTTTAAACCTCTTAAACTGAAAACACCAGCTGTCTTACATGGCCAACAGTATGAAGCTGTAGCAAGACAAACATTTCAAGAAATATGGGTTTCAAAGTAAAGACTTGTGGTCTTTTCATAGACTCGGAGAACAATTATTTGGCTGCTTCGCCCGATGGCATTATTGGAGAAAATGCTATTGCTGAAATTAAATGTCCATATAAGGATAGAGATCGTAAGATTGCTGCAGACAAGTTTTTCCAATTCTTGCTAGAGGATGATGATGGTGTATTGCATTTAAAACAGAATCATAATTATTATATGCAGGTGCAAGGGCAGCTTAATGTTTGTAAAAAAAGAGAAGTGTTTCTTTGTTGTTTACACATTTGTAGATATTTTTGTGGAAGAAATCAATGTTGATAGAGATTACTTCTCTGGTTGCATGCTACCAAAGTTAGAGTTGTTTTATAAAAAACACAACAGAAAATTTCTTGATGAAAAATTGTAAATTGATGTCATAAATCTGCAGTTTAAGCTTTTTCTGTGAAGACTTGTACATAAATTGTTCATTTCTATATGGATAATATGATGATATTTGCAGGTTTTCTTTTAAGAAAAGCCTTTTACATCTGTTAAGATCAGCACAGTATTTTGATTGTTTATCAAAACTTAACATGGTCATTATAGTGCACTGTTGTAATGGATAACATTTTTTTACCATTGACACTATGGTTCTATATTACAAAATGTAGATTTTCAGTAGTCAACCTGGAATTTAGAATAATCCAAGAGAAATGTTTATGAAGTTATTAATGGTTTGTAAAGAGGTGAAGAGGTGTATAGAGATAATTATAAAGATGTATCCACTTGCTGCTTTAAGACAAAATTATTTAAGAAACAACAGTTAATTGAGTACAATGTGAAAATGTTAGATTGAATAATGCAAGTGTAACTGAAATCATTGTTTTTATTCTACAACATGTATTAAATAATATTCATTTGAATGGTAGTACATTATTATGAATATTTGTCAACGATGCAAGGTCTAAAATTCAATATTGAAAAACAAATAAAAATGATTCTAGAGCCTAAAATGGCTTTGCCCTGTGGTAGCTCTTTCTTGAGAATTTTGAAAGTCTTGGCCAGTCCAATGATTCTTTCAACATGAATTCGCTTTGATGCGATTCTTCGGTCTTTAACAACATCTTGTGCCTCAAGTTGGCTTTTTCCTTTCAACATTGTTGGAGTGTTGACCTGAATGTTACGAGGGGCAAACAAATCCTGGACCATGATACCCCTGTCAGCCATTATACTGTCATGGTCTTGGAATTTGTCCTGGTCTCTAAGTAAGTCAGAACGTTCAATAATTTGTCTGTCACTTGTACCACCACAGTATGCATCGGAAATATAACTGACAGTTCCACGTGGTGTACAACCAATCATCACCTTTAGTGTATTTTTATTCTTGTAATTCGAAAATGTAGCACTCTGGGCATTTACATTCTGGGGCTTATTTATTGGTACCTCAGTGGCATCAATTATCACTCTAGTTTTGCAGAAATTTGCAAAGAAGTCATCAGGCATATATTCATCAATTACAGATCTCGAGGGCCAAATGTTAATCTCTTTAAGTTGGAAGTACATAAAATTGATCCATGTAACAATAATATTTGAAACAGTACTTTCACTGACTTGAAACAAATAACTCAACTCAATGTCTTCTTTAGCTTGTCTCAGTTTTATCATAACTAAAAAGAACTGGTCTTCAGGGGAAAGTAAGTTGCTTTTTAGATTCAAATCATGTGCTGCAGGACCAAGTACTTGAAAAAACATCATGAAATGGTCATAATTTTCAAAACCAGTGTAATATTTCACCATTTTATCATTACTTTGCAATTTTTCAATGGAAAACCTGTTGCTTTTTCCAATATCACATTGGACTGACTGATCATGCAGCTTCTTTTCATCACTTTCATAACATTCACAATCAGCATTAACTTCTTGTACAGACTCCACCACCACTTCATTTACAACACATTCACTACTAGACCCATTTTCACTATGATCTCTAATACATTCACTACTAGACACATTTTCACTATGATTTCTATCACACTTGACTCTTTTACTGTATCTTTGTTCTCTTGCGCTGGATGACTCATTCTTACATGCAAAGGAAAAGACAGAAGGAACAGCCTCTGGTTTTAGTCTCTTTCTCTCCCCTTAAAATAAAACAAACTCTATTGTAACCTACTTTCACTTTCATGTGTTTTCTCTTTATTTCGAAAAATAAGGAAACATTTGGGTGTGATTATAATTAAATACACGCTAATTAAATAATTGATAATTCGAGTATGATGAATCGCCAGAGTATGAAAACTGTAGGCTAACGTTAGCCGTGTTTACTGCGCATAGCATGTATACAGTAGATTTAATTCACGTTACGATGATTTTGAGCTAAGAACCAATTATTTAAAAACGTAGTTAATTAGATCAACAACTAGTTTACCATAACGAACTAACCAAGTAGTGTTGATTGAATGTAATCATCGTGTGTGAAGTGATCTCCACACACCCGGTCGTGAGCAGCCGGCTCCTATAACTTTCTTGATTTTACATCCAATCTTCGAATCGCGACTCGCCATTTCAATTTTAGATCGGGATTCGAAGGGAACAGATGTCCACCTTTCTTAATTTTACACGGAGGTACACAACAATACACTGGCATATCGACGATTTATCCTTAACGCGGTTTTTAACTATTATAAAGTAGACAAATATGGCGACGTATCTATACCTCATAGTACACGAGCGCCACCTGGGGGAGATAACTCTTCTTGGCGGACCTTATTCACAGTAATTTGTATCTTAATATTGATACTATTTCGTTATCAAATAATTAATTTGCATATTGAAATTGTCTGTACTCATCGCAATGGAGGAATAATAAATTCAAATAATCATAAATAAATGATTATTTTTGTGATAAGAAAAGTAATTCACTAACAAAACAATCTTCATTGAATATAGAATATACTAAGTTATTTTGATTCAAATCAAAGAATCAGAGGCAGTAAGCATATATGAGCTGCCCAATAATTTTTAAACATTTTTATACCAGTGTAATCGTTAAGATGGTTTATTTTTCATATAACGAGATGTCCAGTTTGATGTAAATAGCAATAAAATTTTCAACATTTGATTTGTAGTTGAGTTATCACTATGTGAAGTTGTGTGATTTTTCCGGAATTGTGAAATTTCCATCAAATTCTCACATTCCAAACAAGATTTAGATACGGCCGCACGCAAACAACACAGTAAAAATTTAATAGATTGTTTAAAATGACACAATAAATTATATCCCAAAATATCATTCTGTTGTTTGCATGCGGCCACCATAAAAAATATATAAAACGATGTTTTTCGATGCGCGATTTTGATCGCTTCCGGTTTCGGTTTTTATATTCAAATCAAACAAAGTTGGATGAGTCAAAAACAGACAATTGTGACAGTAGACTTATCGAAGTTCTAACCATTTAGCAGGTAGGGATGAATTGAAAATCAGAGCAATTTTCATTTTTGCATGCACTATTTACATGCATTGTTCAAAATTAAATCCCCTCCCAAACATATTATTGATAAAAGATTTAAAATGACAGACTCCGCTAACTCCATGAACTCGGGGGGACGGTAATCATGTCAAAAAGTTGAAAATAGAAAATGTATATCTAAAATATATTAAACAGGAACACAACATGCTATCTTCTTTCAAAGAAAAAAATAGATTATAAAAAGTTGACTTAATCATCGATTCTCTTTGATTTAGGGCCTATAATATTCATGATTCATGAACCCTCGATCGGCCGGTTGATCTGCATGATTAGCCGCGTTTTATCAGTTGTGAAAATCTTTACCATGTTTACATATACGGAAAATATATAAGTGCATATAGTATGTATAGCATCCATGTAACTTGCCATTTTGTTTAAAAATTATTCTGGTTAAATGTACACACAAGCTGTAGGTAGTGGTAGGGGCATGTAGTATGCCAGGATCTTATATTGTCTGAGTTATGGTAAGCTGAGATGATACTGTATACAAAACGTTAGGTAATCGGGCAAGAAAGTTTTTATATAACACTTTTAATCGATTTGACATTAAAATATAAATATACTACCTCTCTATGTTGGTGTTTATAAAATGCTAACATATTTTTCTGTCTGAGTACAAATACAACCGAGTCTAGCGTTTGTGTATTCAAAGGACCTTACTCTGGTACACTGTACCTGTGCAAATGTATGGTGTGCTATAACAGTCAAAAATCAAAAATTTGGTACAAGGTTGTTTTGTTTGTTTGTTTGTTTGTTTTTTTTTTTTTTTTGTTTTTTTTTTTTTTTTTTTTTTTTGTTTTTTTTTGTTTTTTTTGTAAAACGAAATAAAAAAAGTTAGTTTCTTTAAAATTAGCTAACACCACTAATTAAATCTCATTAATGTTCTTTGCAGAATAAATAATATAAATTCTTTCTATTTTTCTGGTGGGGACAATGTCTTTTTTGTGTTTTTTTTTAACCAATTAATTAAAATATTATTAATGTAAAATTAACCTTTTGTAAGTAATAAAAAAATAATTAGATTACCTAGGAATATTATAAATTAATTTAAATCACCATTTAAAGAGGCTGGGGGGTTGTGGCCATTTTTAGACTATATTGACCTCCTTTAGAAGAAGAGCTCCATATGAAGATATAGAAAATGATCAAATTTTAAAACTAGAATTTTTGAAATTTTTCTTTGCCAAATGATAGTTGACAGCTTAAGATATCATATCTAAAATATTAAGTTAAATCTGGTGGTTAATTTGTGGTTAATTTGTTGACCCCCAAGCCTCCTTAAATTAAAAAAAAATGTTTGTAATTACAAGCTTCATCTTTTTTGTTTTAATTTAAAGTACCCGATAATGTCTTTGCCTCTGATTTTTATTCATTAAACTCAAATAGGTAAATCAATAAAACTGCTATTTAAATTGATTTCATGAATGAAATAATTATATATTATACCTGGTATCATTAACCTTTATTTATTACTTAAATATTGGTTACAAGCATCCATGCGTTATACATTAATATGTGAATAGATTAGTTATCGCTTAAGTTTTATTTGTAATATTGGTATTTATTTTCTTACTAAAATCTTAATTACATTGAAAATGATAATTTTGATATTACTCAAAAAATATTTTTCAAAATCACATGCTTGTTTCTTTCTTTTTACATTAATAAATTATTTCCTTTTTTCATATGTAAAGAAAATCTTATGCAAATGTATATACACTGTACAAGTAAACCCCCCTCCTTCCATAATTAAAGACAAAATGTGCATACATAATATATATAGTAATTTAATTTTGATATTTATATTTTAAATTGTAGAATGCCTGGAGATGGTCCAAAACAATATCCTTGTATATCTTGTGGGAAAAGAACCAAAGCTGATCAAAGACGTTTCATAAAGCCTGGATCTTCTGAATCGTACAAACTATACCTTCAACATTTGGGACTTTCTGTTAATTGTGAAAACTATGTATATGTTACATGCCTGAACTGTTATACGAAATTCTACAAGTCCATAAAGAAAACTTCAAAAGAAACAGAGCAAGATTATGAACCACCCAAATATCTTTATATTTTAATACAGTAACCATGTATTTCATATTTATTTTTCTGTAGCCTGTTTAACCATTTCCTATGTTTATGCCAGTTTTTCCAGGGCTGAAACTTTACAGTACGTAGAATAAAGATGTTCTGTCTTCTGGCGTCATTTTAAGCCCTTAATTGTCCAGGCATTCCATAATAAATTTACGATAAATTTATTTATCACTGTCAATAACTTGTATTGAAATTGAATTAAAAATTACCTCTTGAGGGTTTCTACTGTTTTTATGATTTTATTGAATAAAATAATGGAAAGTTAAAATGAAGATAATAAAAATTAATTGACACAGTATTTCTTACACGTATAATTTAATAGAGATTTTAAATTAATAATTACAATGTAGATATTAATAAATTCACAAAAAAGGAATGAAACAAATACTGGCATGTCCTTACCTTCATTTTAGCGGCTAAAATCACATCATTTTCTGGGTTTCCAGCATTTAAGGGTTGTCTGTACTTATTACAGAGAGCTGCAACCAAGCACACATAATCCCTGATGAAGGGTATCTGGGTATTCAGGACAACATTTTGCAAAAACTTCCACTGTTTAAGTCGTCCATTCACCGACCTTAAGAGATTCAGAGTGAGGAGAGGTGCACATTTAATGTCGATTTGTTGTCTGGATCTACAAAGTCGATCACTTAGAAGAGTGACGTTGCTCATGAGTGGTTAGCCACTGAACTCCGACAAGCAAATTATGCTGGCATAACCAAGAGAGGATCTTTAGTTATTCATAGATCTATACTATATAATGAAATATATGGAGATAACGAACAGTATTCAAGCTCAAAAGTCCATTAATCAATACAAAATGAGAGCAGAGCAAACATGGACCTCCAAAACATCAGAGGTGGGATCAGGTGCCATGGAGGAAATGCATCGAAATCAGCTGTTCTTAACATTGTAAAGTCATATAAACAAGACGGGTTTCAGTCTTTACTTAATTTCAGGGGATTTCTTCAAGAAGTGTACCGGGGCAGAGTGACCGGTCATTGAGAAAGAATGACGTTGTCGTCATGAAACTCAATGCTGACAACGCCGGGTGCTGATTTAACTTTTTGTTTGTTTGTTTTTTTTAATATTAATTTGGCAAATCGCCAATTTATCAAGCTAAAATGTTTAATACTTCTTTAACTTTTGTTGTTTTATATGCTTCATATAAATTTTGTAAGCACCAACTACATAATATAAATTTTATCGCATCAGGCCTCGAACTTTTTTATAACCCCGCGTACATGTAAGAAATATCGACTTAATATAAAGAACTATAGAATGCAAGAAAAGTTGCTACATCCACATTACTTGGCATCTATCGCAATTACATTTTTTTCCTGGAAAATTCAATTCAATTGTTCAACATCAGTTATTGCATAACATTACTTTCCAACAAATAATTTAGAACGCATCTTAAATTTATTCAAAATAGTAAAAAAAAAAAAAAGAATGTAGAATACCCAGTCGCATGATTGCAATAAGAACAATTACACAGAGCAGCACATTTAAATCCTTATGTTGGAGAGGGACATGGAAAAGAACAGTTTGAATCAAAATAACCAAGAGGACATGCAGGGAAAAGATCATAATATTGCATTAATATCCTTAGAAAGTACAAACAATTAGAAACTGCAACAAAGTAAAACTAATCTATTACAAATGTAAATATTTCAGTCACTGGCACTTGTTTCACAATGCTTATTAGAACTACAAAAACTAAAAAGAAATATTCTTTACATATAGAGACATATTGAAACAACAGAGCTATTTTGCTCGCACTTTGCGCTCTACCATGTTATTTTACCGGATCTGTTATTTTCATAAGCTTTAATTTGTTAGATGTAAATAATACTTGAATAAGCCAACGATACCTTGACAAGTGTGATTTATTTTGTGTCAGTTGTAACGACATTTCTGGTTAGTATCCCCATGATTTT